TTTGAACCCGGGTCTTCTGCAAGAACAACTAGTGTTCTTAACCACTGAGCCATTCTGCAGCCCCCAAAATTCAACATTTTTAAAGAAAAAAAATATAACTTTCATTCTTTGCTGGAACACATAGAATAATTAGTAGAACTTTTAAGATGGTAACATTAAACTGTTTTATGTGAGACAAACAAATTTTTTAATAAATAGAAGATTGCAAAGAATACAAAATTTGGGGGCAGTTATCACTGCATCTATTTTGAGTTTCCTACCCTGAATTATGTTGTATAATTATTTTGTGCAATCCAAACGTTAACCAAAGATGCACTTACTAAGAATATCTGCTAAGCAGAGTTAAAAATAACAGTGAGCTTCACTTTCAAAAACAAGTTTCATCAGACTCAGTGGTCGTGCTCCCAAGCACCTACGTAAAATTAAAGTTTCTCTGAAGAAAAAGCAAAGTTCAAAATACCAGTTTAAAAATACCAGGCTGGGGACTGGAGAGATGGCTCAGCAGTTAAGAACACTGGTTGTTCTTGCAGAAGACCCAGGTTCGAATCTCAGCACCCACATGACAGCTAACAACTGCGTAACTCCAGTCCCAGGGGATCCTGCAGCCTCTTCTGACCTCCACAGGCATTGCACGACACGGGTGCACTTACCTACATGCAGGCAATACATGCATGCACATAAAATAAAAATAAAATTAAAAAAAAAACATACCAGGCTGGGCATGGTGGTGTACACCTTTAATTCCAGCATTTGGGATCTTTGTGAGATCAGCCAGCTGGGGCTATAGGGAGACCCTATCTCAAAACAACAACAACCAAGCAAAACAGCAACAACCAAAAACCCCGTGTTCATCATCCCTGTAAGCTGTGATCTCATTAATGTGGCACTGACTTCTGCTAAGACTTTATAGCATACTAAATAAGGAGGCTCTCTGAGTTCTTCTCTTTGGATGTTACTTGTAGCATGATGTGATAAAGTATTCTCTTTTGCAGGCGAAGTCTGCCTGAAGGAAAATAAATATCACAACTTTGTTAATAACCGTCTTTCTGAAGTGAGTTCTCACCATGAATGAAATTTACATCTATGAGCAATTGGTCACTTATTCTGACCCTTTTTCCACTCACCATTCCTTATAAAATGCAGCCTTTTTTCAGGTTTTTAGGATTGGAGACAAGAGCTTAAATGTGCTCATCAATGAGCAGTTTATTCTTTTGGGAGCTCCCAGTACTTGAATAAATAAATGTTTACTGCATATGAAGAATTCTGAAGGCAATTCCAATATGAAACAGCTGTCTCTGTCCTTCTGTTTGTATGGCACTTACAAGCTCCTTTGATCGTGGTTTATCTGGTGCTTTCCCAGGTCTGTGAACCTTGAGGGAAGTATAATGCAGAACCCACTTTCTAACCCTCATGATGAAATAGAGGAGAAATTAAATCGAAGACAGTGTAGGAAGTCTAGAAGTCCTGTCCCTCATCATGTAATTGTTAGAGCATGTAACACTAAATGGTAACATGGAGTTGAGATATTTCTCAAGGATTCTGACACCGCTTCTTGCTACTCCTGCTTCAGCTTAGCTACCAGGGCTGCCAGCATAACACAAACTTGAGATTTTGCCCAAACTTAGAGAGTTCTAGCATGCATTCAGTAATTATCAGCTGTGTAACCTGTAATTTTGGATGCTTGTAGTTTCTGTTATTCAGTTATTCTGTCAACCCTGTAAGTTGACATGTACTTTTCAAACGCAGTCATCCTAATATTTTGTTAAGAAATCATCATTGAAATTTTGGTGTCCTTGGGTAGATGTCCTAGACTTTTGCCCCAGAGCAGATTTCTCCATTGAGTTCCAACTTCTGCCCTGAGAGGCAACAACAAAACCTCACCAACTTGGAAAATTCTCAGCTTCAGAATATGCTCTCTTTTTCTTGGTGGTTTTTTGTTTGTTTGTTTGTTTTTGCTAAAGGGTCCTATTCTGTCTTCAGTTCTGAATAACTTATAGCTCCATATATTGACCTTCTTCTAAGGACAATCATCTTTTAGTACTTTAAAAATGTGTGTATGTGTGTGGCTCATATTTGTTTTTACTAAACCTGACATCCTATTTCTCAGTCCTAGTCACCAAACAGTATACTTAGCAGTTTATGAAATTTACTCTATTCTTTTTATTAGCAGCATAGTATTCTTTTTTGTGGCTCAATAAACTTATTATTTTTGTTACTTATTTTTATTTAAAAGAATTTGTTTTCTAGTTAATGAAAAGTTGTATTTCTCAGTTTAATTTGTATATCCCTGATTAAGAGGAAGGGTAGCATACTTTTCCTGTTCATCTTACATGCTCTCCAGAAGGATTAAATAGTGAATGGTAAAAAAGGACAGAAAAACAATACTGTTTCAAGTGACTCTAGGAATATATTTATAATTTCCTAGGGATAAATTCATAAAAGTTAATAGATTTTGTTCTCACATATGTTAAACAAAGTATACATACACTAAATATTATAATACAGTCGTAAAACAACTAGCATACTAAGAGAAAACATTTATTCCTATAAATCAGTTAGAAAAAACCTTGCTGAAAAATAATAAACAATTTTCAGTGGGTTTGTACATATATGTATGTGTATCCAATTTTTTTGAAATTGATTTCTACAAGTTTGCTAGGTCAGATGACGTACACATTTAAAACTGTCATGGATTACCCTCTAGGAAGGCCTCCCAGTATTGGAGTAGGGCAAATGTCCTCCCCAGACCTTAAATATAAGCATTGTCAATTTTTTTAGTGTTGCTCCATCTTATTGCATGAATTTTACAGTATAAGTTTTGTTTATTTCATGATTGCTAAGATTTTCTATCCTTTATGATTGTATATCATAATTAATTGTACTGTCTAATGACTTTGTTTGAGAAATAGGGTCTTACTATGCAGCGCTATCTGACCTGAAACTCATCTATGTAGACCAGGCTGGCCTCAAACTCACAGAAATCCACCTTCCTGTCAAGTGCTGAGATGAAAGATGTGTGCTTTCATGCCTAGTCTACTGATTTTTTTTCCTCCTTGTATGAGCTTTTCACATATTAATTCTGTCACTGTCACATATGTTAGAAATTTTATTTTGCTTTTTTCAAGCTTTCCTTTGACAGAAGTTTTATATGCTCATATAACAATATATCAGTCTTTGTAGTCTCTAATTTTGGTGATATTGTGATTGATATGTAACATGTCAGTTAATGACCCACAGTCTATATTGCCTGCTATTCAGAATCCTCATCTCTAGAAAAGTATAGAAATGGGTTGTATTTTTTAGATGCTACAAGTGTAACAAATTTTCCGGCTTCATACAAGTTGAACAATATAATTCCTGTGAGTTTCAAAAATTCCTTTTGAATTTTGTTACTGTTCTACACATCATATTAATGTTTCTATACCAACTTAATTTCTATTCATTTTTATTATATCACTTTCTTGTGTTTCCTCTGTTAGATAATTATATTCACTTATTATTTTGTTTTATTTTCTCTTAAAAATGAAAAGTTATGTCTCCTTATATAAATCTAGCAAGAAACATTTACTTAGAAAAATCAGTTTTGATGATGGATAAATGGATAAAACCCTGAGAATAGACACTCAGGGTCCTGGTAGGTTACACAGCTGTCTCATGCTGAATAGAGTTCCAGCAACAGAGTTCTAGCATGCTTTCCCCAGACCTGACTGTTGTATTTAGAAAAGAGAGTAGTATAGTGTTACTATGTAATGGGTCGACTCTGCATATTCCCACTGCTTTAAATTCACTAGTCATATAAAAGGGAAGAATGCTCCAGCTTAGTGTTTGATCTTTACCACATAGATCTAACGTCACAACCAATTGCTTTCAGTATTCTCTTTGAAATATCATAAAGGTTCATATGTGCCAAATTTCATAAGGATCACATGATAAGGTCAAGAAACACAAATTCCAAGGCAGAATTTATATGCCCAGTTCACATATGACAGCAATACTATGTAACCATATGTTGAGTATAATATACTGTATGTAAATGCTATTCTTGAAACTAGTCCAATCAGTAAAGCCTAAAATAAATAATACTTTAATAACACATTTCAGATAGGCTGAAAATGGAATAGATGGGTTCTATGGCAAGAACATCCCTATAAAATTGACATTCAAAGGCCATTAAAACAGAGTATAAAACAATCATGAAACTGAAGAAAAACTGGATATTCAGAAGATTTTTTTAAAGCCTACTACTGCACTGTATGCCAAGATATAGCATTCATTTTTATTTAAAGAGCTTTATCTGAAAAAAAATGTATTTCCAAGCCTTAAAAAAATTCTTTGCCATCACTAAGCGCCAAATATGTTCTTTAAAAATACTCAATGTTAAACAGAAAAATACTTGAAATATATATTATTAAAAGGAAAAAGGGTTAAAATAGATGAAACTTTTAATTATAATTAGTAAAAGATTAACTAAATTTTAACATTAAAGGTTATGGGAAAGCTACTGAAGTTAAGTTCAAAAGCTTTGCAGTAGTAAAAAAGTGATTATATCAGTAAACTCTGAAACAGATCAAATTTAGCCCTTGAGTAGTATTAATCCTTGAACATGCATTCACCTCTTTTTTAAGCTGACAAGCTTGCCCTTTTTTTTCTTTAATTTGTTTCCAGCATTATGTCTAAAGTGAGATCTAACCATTAAAGTGTTAATGCTTAGCAGCTCAGAATTCAGGCCTTATAGACACACAAAGACAATGTGACTTAAAACTTAATGACTTTTCCTCTTCGGTCTAGTTCTTTAAAACATGATGATGTCAGCCCACCTTGTATAGACTTGGTTTATCTTTTCTGCTATAAGTAGTATATACTATATATGTACAAAGAAAGAAAACAAGTTCACATATTGGTTAACCTTTTTTTCCCCTCTCTCCACACAAATTCATACATCAAAATGAGATGTTTGTGATGTAATTGATTTTTTTTTTTATTTCAACTTTTCATTTTAGATCCTGGAAAGACTCTACCTGAAGCCCTCGACTATAACACAGTGTGGCTGCAGACAGTGCCTGGAGAAACAGATGACAAAAGTGGTATTCCACCTTCCCTTGTTACACTACAGATTAAAGACTTTCTTAATGGAACAGGTAAAGAAGTCACAATTGAAGCATACAACTTTTTTCTATGTGGAGACATAAACATGTATACGGGACCTGTTGATAATTTTGACATTCTCTTTTTCGGCTGCCCATTCTAAAGGTCCGAAAGCAAATATAAATATGCATGAAAAATTATCTTGAGTCTGACGAAAGTATTTAACCATTTAAGAATAGTTGAGTGGAAGCTCAAGACCTTGTGTTTTATTTGTTTTTTTTTCCTTTGAATCAACTAAGTGCTTCTAAGCAATTAAGTCTAATCTTGCTTGCCTCAACATCATTACTGTGTATAAAGAAAATGTAGGAATGGGTGGGATGTGTTATTACATGTGTAAGATACTATGCATAGACTGAACACACATTTCAAATGCATTAAAATGTTTGTTTGAGATGGTAAGCTTAGATAGATAGCTTAGAGATTCCAAAATATACTTTACATATATAGAGAGAACCAATGAATAGGGGTTGGGGAGATGGCTCAGTGATTAAAAGCACTGGCTGCTCTTGCAGAGGACCTGGGTTCGATTCTCAGCACCCACATGGCAGCTAACAACTGTCCATAACTCCAGTTCCAGGGGAATTCAACTCCCTCTTCTGACATTTATGGGCATTGCACAACATGGGTGTACTTACATACATTCAGGCAATGCATTCATACACATTTAAATACAAATAAAAGAACCATGGAATAGTTACTCTTAGTCTTCCTATTTTATGAATAGGAGACTGAGAATATGAATAAGGTGACTGAGACTGAAAAAATGAAGAAAGTTACCTAAAATCATAGTGATAGAAGACCTATTAAAAAACTAAGTCTATAACTTCAAAAAGCTGGTCTTACATCTCTTCTACACTGATTTTAGCATAGCTGGGATTTTTTTCTTTCTCTCCTTCTTCCTTTTTCATGATGTATTTTTAGTTCCGTCTTTTTTTGTCCCTCCTTTCTGTTAACTTCCTCAGTGTGGTCTTAGCTATTGACTTAATAGAACTTTATTTTAGTTTTACTTTTGTTATCCTTACAGTACTTTGGAATGTGTTAGTCATTAAAGGAATATTAGTTTCTTCATTAAAAATTTAAAACAATGACTTCACCCTGTCCTGAGATCTTCAGCAACAACTACAAGGCATGAGTTTTGATGAGAGACTATCCCTGTGTGGACCTTGTTGAATGTGTGTTATGGTCTGTCAGTCACTTCTGCATAGCGGCAGATGGAGAAAGGCCATTCAGGCTGCCTAGACTAAGGACTGGAGTTGCCTGCACTGGTCTTCTGGGGACCAACTCTCTATCATGTGTCTCCAGTGCTAGTGTGAAGAGTTATTTCTGTTCATAGTTTATATCTATACATGATTTGAAGGAATGAAAGAAGAGTGGGGAGCAGATGATAGTGGAGTCTTTAATGTGTTGAGGAAAGCCTCTGAGTGAGACAGCTGGTAGATTAGAGGAGTGTAAGTCCTACTTCAGTAATTATGAAATACCAGATTTTTAAACAGTATCAATGATTTAAATTCTTTAAATTCTTAAACATTTTTACCCAAAATGCTATTATTTATTTATTTATTTCATTATTTTGTATTTAAGGGAAGGTGAGTTTGAATGGTATATCAGCTCTGTGACATTTCCTCTAAAACACTAATCTAGCAGCCTTGAGCTGCTTCAAAATTTACTGAGATAAAACTTTCCATACAGTAAACAGTGTCATTCTAAGCGCATAAGTAGATAGCAATTCATAAGCTCTCACTACCACATCAGATTTCTATGCTATAATTTAGAGTTCACAAAAGCTGCAGCAAATAGTAAGATTCATTAAAAGGGAAACAAAAAAAAAACATTTTTCACATAAAATTTTATCATTTTGTAAATTTTGGCAACTCAAGAGAATTATGGTTTGTTGTTGTTGTTTTACAAATCTTAAGTAGTAGGTTACTAAAAGGACAGTGGTTTATGCTGGGACTGGGTAACAAACCAGCTTTTATTTTCCACCACCATTCTTTTCCTTTGCAAGAAGCAGCTTTACAAATAATAACAAAGGTATTACAAATAATACTTCTAATTCTATGCAGTGGTGTCATTAAGTGTTAGCATTAAAATCTTTTCTACAATTAAGCTGCATACGGTATCTTGCTGCTTTATTTTAAACTAGCTTGTTTCCATTTCCTCTTTGCATGTTCTTGAACTTAAATTACAGTAACCATAAAAATTATGATCTTCAAGTGTAGAAGAAAAACTGATTATAAGTGCCTAGCCTTCAGTTTCCTTCAAAAGGGTATGAACATAACTGTTCTTGGACTTAGCCATTCAGATTCGTTTGCAGGGGGGTTGTTTTCTTTAAACAAGGTGACACAAAAGCTGGTCTTTATTATTTATCTTTGGCAAAATGATTCAGAGTTTTTGAGTGTGTCTTTATTTTCTGTGTTCACTTACCTTAGGCAAATGATAGCTCCTAACTTCCACATCAAAAAAGTCCTTTAAAGCTCTCCCAAACCCTACCTCCTTCCTCAGAGGCAAAAACTGTACCCATTGGCAAGGTCAGTGGCTTGGTGAAACCTGGAAAACAGCAGCTACCAGAAACTCCCTAGAATAATATCTCTAGCAGGTGATAGATTAGTTGGAACAAATTGGAACCATTGCAGTTCAGCTCTCCTGGTTTCTTTCAAGCTGTTTTTAAAATGTCGTCATTTTAATACACAATCTAAGCCCCACGGAACAGTCCACAGCAGGTTAATTTGAATCATATGATGTGTCACTGCCCTCAGCTGACATAAGTTCTATTCCATGTGTGAAGCCATAATAAATCCATTCCCAACCGAGGCAAATTCCCCGTGAGAAGGTGAACTAATCCAGGCCTCACACTGGCATGCTAGTCTCTGTAATTGAAAGCAGGGCCACCTGTTCCTGGCACAGTTAGCCTACAGAGAAAAAAATTAGTCCTAGATCAGATGCCTATTATACTGAAAAGTCATTCATACTTCTTGCAAATTCAAATTGAGCTGTGAAGTGTTTGCTCTGACATCACACAGAACTGTAGGAATGTGATCCCAGTTTAAGTTTTGTTAACCATAGGCTTTCTTAACTTTGAAATGAGATTTTTTTTTTAATTTAATCAGAGCTGACACGTGAGAAGAACTGGTAAGGATTCAGACTTTTCTAATTAACTCAGGGTCATTTGCAAAAACGTGAGCTCCCTGGTTGTTTTTTTTTTTTTTTTTTTTTTTTTTTTTTTTTTTTTTCACTGTTCTTTTGCACAGAAATTTCTGGAAAACTGTCACTTTAGCCATGAAGTGACATTGAAACGACAACCAAAAGCAAAAATGTCAAATTGGGACAACATTCCTGAATCATTTATGGTTTATTGTGAATTAATAACCATACCCCATTCATCATATAATTTAAATACTATGGTTATATCAAACACAAGGTTCTGAAAGCAGTTTCACTTCTTTCTGGTTTAATGTACATAGTCTCATAGTTGAAATGGCCACAAAGGTCTTTTTCTCCTAAAAATGTCACTTGTTTAATTTCACCCTGTTTAGCTGGTTCATTAGTTTTCCCATGTAGTTTTTAGTTTTTCTTGTTTATTTTTAGTTTTGGATTGGTCTCATCTCTGGTTTTGTTTGATTTTTATTTTAAAATCTCTTTTCCTTTAACTGCTCATAATCTTATTTTGAATATTGTCTTTTTATATTTTATGAGTTAATTTACTGTTTTGTAAGGCACAATGATTTTAGTTTCTTCTTTTAAAAGAATTCCTAAATGTCCTAAACTGTTTTATTTCCATAAACTTCTTTGATTCAGATTAAAATGTGTGTCTAAACTGCTGTAATGTATTAAAAAGACTTCCTAAGTACATTAATACTCCATTAGATAGGTTTTTATATGAATGTAAAGAAGGAATTTTGTTTATCCCAAATATGTGTGTTTTTAAGTGTTTTAACCTAATTAGTTCTGTTATTACTAAATCTGTTACTCAGTACTTGGCTGATTCAGGGGGAAAGAAAAGCCAAGCGAGGTTGCGTACTCCTATAATCCTAGCTCTTGAGAGGTGGAGGCAAGAAGATTAGTTTCAAAGTTTCAAGGCCAGCGTGGACTACATGAGACCCTGTCTCCAAAAAAAAAGAAAAAAGAAAGAAAGAAAGAAACAAAGAAAAGAAAAAGTTTAAAGATGACAAACAACCCCTTGACATTTTTCGAAGAAAAAAAATATTATGATTCTTTATATGTATTTATTCATTTAGTGTTTATGTATGTGCATGCACACACAATACATGGCAGGCATGTGAGTATCAGAGGACAACTTGTGGGAGGCCATTCTCTCCTTCCACCATGTATATGTGTTCCAGGGATCAAACTCAAGTCGTCAGGCTTGGTGGGTAAGCACCTTCACCCACTAGGCGTTTTTTTTTAATTTTTAAGATAATACAGTTTTTAAAAGCAGGAAAATTCAAAGTTAAAAAAAATAAAAATCTCAAGAAATGTGAACCAATTAATTAAAGCCCTAAAACCTTAGCTGTTAAATGTCCTGAGCTTATGAGTTCCAATTTCCAGTGTCAGTATGTTATCATAGTTTATTTTCCGCATGTTTTATCTAAATGAGGTAGTAAACTTGATATTGGTATGTCAAGGAATGGACCAAAGATCTTAATACAGGAAAACTTTTCATTATATTTCCCTTAGTTTTTCAGTTGTAACTCATATTTTTGGAAGAAATGTGGAAATGAATGATTTTTTTAAAGACTGTCTCACTGTGATATCCCTGCTGGCCTGGAACTCTGTGTAGACCAAGATGGCCCTGAACTCACAGAGATCTGCCTGCCTCTGCATCCCAAGTGCTGAGATTAAAGTTTTGAGCCACCATGCCCTGCCAAAATGGATGATTTTTTTAAATGATTTATTTAATAACAGCATACTTAGAAGAAGCATATCATTACAACACAATTGACATATTCAATAACGTTTTCCTGAGGTAGGATGCATCTCTTTCAAATTTGGCTGT